TTATTGGTTGGATAACTACGTTATTGGTTTCCCACCAATAACGTAGCTCCATTTTCTGCCTTTAAAAGCACACACAACCCACAATTCCTCTATTCGCTCTGACGAAGGGCTAACGCTCGAAACGTCAGCTTTTGTAATCGTTACAGTGGCCAATTTACCATTTCAACTTTGTTGAAATATCCAAATTATTTAAACAACCCAGCCTAGTATAATAACAGACCAAATTGAACTCTACTGACTCCTTTTACCAATGCTAATAAATTTGTTGTTTTCTGCCGAGACAATTATCACCATTGCAAACCACTCAACTACCCAAAGGTATCATATGGGTACAGATCAACTTCCGGGTTGGAAACAGGTAGTTACACTTTCTTGGTATAATTGCATGATTGATACTAAATTTAGTGATGCTCACCTCTTCTTGTTCATTTGGGGCAATATCGACTGAATAGCCTTCAAACCTGAAATGAATACCAATACACAGAGGGAATAATTATATATATCCGACAGCATAAAAGGATCTAAACCTATCACAGTATTTGCTCCCAGGAGCAACCACTGAGTAATTGCTCTTTATTTTAAACTTCAATTTATCATTTAGCAGAACGAAGAAAAATTAGGTCTCATATGATAAAAAATGTATTCGGTGATTATTGCAATTAAAATTTTGAAAAAGTTTAGTTAGTCACTGGTAATTTTTGCCACATACAAGAGTAATTTTCGAAAGAAATTAAGGGAAACTGACCTGTCACCGCCTGCACCATAAATGTCGACATCATATCCTCCTTCACCAACAGAAGCTAAACCAACCTAAAGGGTGCATAACAAACAAATGCAAATAAATCACCAACTTGAATTATGTTCTGTCATACAATTTATGGTACTTTATGATGGTGAAGCTGAAAAAGCTTCTGATAACTACACTGAAACAAAGTAGAAGGCAAAAAGGACGCTGAAAGATGCATTTCTTCGTATAAATCAGTCGAAATTAGAGGCGGGTGAAAGAGTACGTACGACATACGCCATGAAAAGCTTACCTTTTCACCTATGTCAACTTTGGGCAAATTCGATCGTTGAGCTTGCAGCTGCTGAATTTGCCACTCGATTTCTAAAAGAAAAAATGGATCTCAGCTACTCAAGCGATAGATAAAACTAGCGTGGTACAGTTTCTCGGAGTGTAAAGGAGACATATTTACCTTCATGAGTCGTAGGGGCTTTAGCTAAAGTGGCCATCTTGTTTTACGATTGCACACCGTAATTACCCACAATGCAACGTAGTTTCGAACAAAGAAATACCCGGATGATGGGGACTTTCTGCGTATTCATACACCATCTGATTTTATTAGTTATCGAGCGCCCGCGATTTTCCAAACTTGGGTTTAACTTGGGAAGTTCAAGCTCTAGTTTTGCGAATGATAGTCGTCTAGCTTATTGGGGAATAGGGAGGACCTAGCAGATGGAGCACTACGCAAAAGTCAGCAGTCACTCCTCTGAAAGCAAGGAGGAGAAGGAAACATGTGATATTCACGTCAAAAGTGGCAGCAAGATAAGGAACATCATATCGCAGGCCTTCAGACTACTGCAGGTATTGAACTGAAATTTAAGGAAAGAGTACCATATAACCCCATACATTAATTATGCATTCCACTTCTTTGTCTTTCACGACAAAACTTTAAAAACAAAGTCTACTAGTCTGAATGCATAATTAATGTATGGGGTTATATGGTACTCTTGCCGAAATTTAAAAGGTTGATTTGGTACTCTAGGACAACAACGTGGACTAAGATTTTCCTGAGTGTTGGTGTTTGTTCATTGCAACAAAACAAAGGATTTACGTCAACCTTAAAACTACCATGGTGTGATTTTGATTGTTGATTCTCCCCTCTAGCAGCTGCACATTGCAATTTTGTCTTTGATCAAGATAGCAACCTCTACTTGAATAGTTTGAGCATTCTCATTACCTTTTTACTGGATGGTGTCTGGATATCTTAAGGAGAAGTTACATGGTAATCACTCTTGAGAGCTAAAGGGTTAAATTAGCTGACATCTCCTTTCTCAGGGGTAATACACTAAAATTAATACACTTGTGCAAGGGAAAGGACGGAAGATGAGTTGTTTCCCTCAAAGTGTTTTTTGCCTTGTTAGGTATTCTCTGTGTCTTTTCAACAACCTTGGAAAAGAGTACATGTAAGAGTTCTTTCCCCCTAATCACAACTCTGGGCCCTGTTATAGATGTGGTGCTATGAAAAGCCTCTAATGCTAACTGATGACTTGATATTAACATACATAGAACCCCTTTATTTTAAACTACATTTCTGTCTTTTCTTACTTTTTAAACAAAGAACAAGAAGGGGGAGAAAGTAGTATTAATTGGATCAGGACCCACTGTGACCAAAACCATTACATGTGCTGAAATTATAAAAAGAAAGTCAAAGGTAAGTTAGGTATAGGCTCTATGATGCTGCTATATATGAATGTGTTGTCTAATTTACAACAAACATTTTCTCCAGCTCTATCTCTTCCATGCTAATATCTGAAATAATTTCCTGAGCCTTAACTGATATTTTACGAAACAAGAATAATTAAGTTAAAGCAAACTGCACCATGACATGAATTGGTATTTCTTATCACCTTTTCTTCTCCTAAGTGTAAGCTTTTCTAAGAGAAATGCCTTAGCTTTGTCTTGTGACTTTGTATTATAACCTTTACTGAAATATAGATACTGGTCATTTGTTTTCTGAGAATTTATTTCATTATTTCTGATATAATTGTTATTTTCATCTCAGGGTTTACACCAGGTAAACAAGTTGTTCTATTCCAGGTAAGTGTACAGGGAGCAAGGCTTTTCCTAGTATTCTTCCTTGATGTCCTGATATGACTAACCAGGGCTTGACACTAACCGTTAAGCCAACTAGCCACAGACCAGCTAGTAGAAATTCAGTTTTGGCTAGTGGTTTTTGATTTCCACCAGCGAGTTTGGCTAGTAAAACAAACTGAAATTGTCATAACATCTAAGTTGCCACTTGGCAAGTAAGTTGAGAAGTTAGTGTTGAGCCCCACTAATGATCATCCATTTTTCTCTGACCAGAATTCAAGATACATGGGAGTCCAAGGAGGATCATCTTGATAAGTGAGTATTAACCTCTTTTCTCATTACATAAGTTCAACAGGAATCTCTTACAAGTAATTGAGAACCATAGGTCACTGTTTTCCTTTTAACCCTTCCAACCCTAAGAGGGACTATTATCTAGTAATTTCTCCAGACATTCTTACCCCTGAATCACACATTTAGGTCATGAGAATAAAGGAAACGATCACCAACTAGGGAAGTCCTGGATTGTTAGATAAATTCTCCTTGTCAGCGCCTTTAGAAATGTATGGAGAACAGTATGAAGAATTGGCCCACTGATCATTGAGAGTTGCAGGAAAAACATTTGTATTATACTGAAGAAAACAACTTTGCATCATCTGACTTCACTACAGACTGTTATTTGGGTTTGATCAGGCTTTTTGTCATTAAGTCGAAGTTTAGACATCACATTTAACAAAAGCAACTTGTTGGGATTTGTATCTACAGACTGCAAGTGACAAGAAAGATTCCATCCATCAGTATTACTCTGTCCAAAATTCCTTTAGATGCATCTCAGCCAGGGTAAGTTGTCAGTGGTTGGTAATGAGGTTTAGCTGGTCCATTCTCAGGAGTGACCAATATATATTTAATATATAATTATATAAATCTCTTTGCGAACCAAGTGGCCCATCAGGGAAGTGCCTAACTGCAGTTTCTGTTGTATGAAGTGACTAGGAGTATTTCTACTCCCCCCTGGATGGGATGCTAGTCCATCGCAGGGTTACCCCCCAGCATTAAATTTGCCGGTACCCATTTAAACACCTGGGTGAAGAGAGGCACTGTGAGGGTAAAGTGTCTTGCCTAAGAACACAACACAATTTTCCCAGGCCAGGGCATGAACCAGGACCACTCAATCTGAAGTCTAGTGCACTAACAATGAATCTGCCATGAGGCCACCATGCCTCTCTTTATTTATAACATTGATACAGTATCTATTAGAATGGTGGTGAGAATGTAAGAAAATAAATCATTTCATTAATCAAAACCAAACTCTCAACGAAAAAAAAGCTAAAAGGAAATGTGTGACAGAATGAAAAGAAACTGATGTTGAGAATTTTCGGAGTGGAAGAATTAATTACAAAGGTAATTAAAAAGACCTAAAGAAGATTACTTTATCCTGATGGTTATTTCTGCTAATAAAGATATCTGACATAAAGGCATGGAATTAGTAATATCACCAGAATTTTGTGAAGTCTATATTCCTTTGCCTGATTTATGTTTATTTTGTCATCACTTTATGGCAATGGATGGCTGGATGATTTCTACAGATTAAAAATAATGGAATTTTACAGATGTTGCACTTGAGACTGTGATCTCAGGAATTTCTCTGTTTTATGATCTTCAGTTACCAGGCTCCAGGTAAATCCAAAAGCCCTGTCCAGTTTGGTGACAAAGACTGGGAACTGGCTTGGGAAGAAAATCAAGATGACTCAAGAACATCAGTTCAGAAAACACACCCAGAGAAAGGTCCAAGAGAAAAAACAAATAGAACTGCAAGTAAAATTAAGACTGAAACCAAAGCTAGTCCTGCTGAGCCTTCAAAAAGGGTCAAAAGTTCAGAGATGGCAACCAGCAAGAGACAAAGAAGAAATAGAAGCAGAGAAAGCACAGAGGAAGAATCAAAGGGTGGAGGAACAGAAAGTGAAAAGATGGAGAATACAAGTCTTGTTCGTGATGCCAATAAGAATGAATAGAGTAACAGCAAATATTTGGGCTGTGATGTTGTAGAATATAGGAAGTCTTAGGAGGGACATTGAGATGGTGGTGCTTTGGATGGTGAAGTGAAACTCAAAAATGATTAATCTAACACCAAAGTGTTAGGAACAGCAGGACAGCAAGGAAGTACAAACAATTCAGGAAGAGGAAAAGCAGAGCCATTGGAGCCATAGAAAGGGTGCGGCTCCAGAGGAAAAAATTGGTGCATTCAGCTCAAAGGATTGAGATACTTCAGACTAAGAAGATTGTTAAGACTTGAAGATACCCTAAAAAAAGACATTGGGCTTCCAGTATTAGTAAAACAGGCTGGTTGTGATGAGGTACTTAATTTTACTTCCATCATAGGAAATTATTTCTAACATTCAGTTAGACAAAATTTTCACAATTGTAAAGTGAAGCAAATGAGAAGCATGAGGCACAGTTTAGGTTAGTTTATTGAGATTTTCCACTGAAAAGTACAATTTACAAGTAAATACATGAACAGAGACACACAATAAATAAACAAAAATATAATGGCAGGAGAAAAATACAGGGCGAGCCTCAATTGACATTTGTCCCCTTACAAAATACAAAGAATAGAAAAATATAGGTTACATATGCACTTATGTACTTTGTCTTTAGAATAAAATAATTTGCCAACCGACTGTGACACTTAGTTAGGGCGGAGTATAAAGTGTGAGCTTTTCTGTATAAAACCACTTAACTAAGGCTTTAAAGTTATGTCAAGCAGCTCTGACAAATGGGTAACACTGAAACATCTGCTTGAAAAACTCTTCATAGTTGCCAATTTACTTTATCAACCGAGTTGATAGAACTGTGTAATATCTTCCCCCCCCCCCCCCCCCATGCAGCACCACAGTTTTTTTTTTTTTACACAGTTATCCCCATTATTCAGTAACATTACAAATGAGGGAATGCATGGCTACACAGATAACAAAAGTGGGAAAATTACAGCTACAGGAATTAACTACTTTTGAGGACTCTAGTTTCAGGCCATAAGCAGGGGTGACTTGAAATTGTGGATTGTGAACATTTAGTATGGCAACAACTACTGAACAAGATGCGAAATTACAACAATATTTATTATAAATTCAAGAAAAAGTACACTCAAGTACATGATAACAATCATGCATAAGTATTGCATACAAAAAATGGCAGTAGAGTTATACTCTATTCTAGCCTCGGCTTTCACATTTTACTTCTTCTCTTGTTAGATTACATAAATGCTTTCCTCATTCAAGGTCCACCTATAATGGTAAAGTAATAGTTTATAATAGTATCTTGATGGAGATAGGGATCTTAACAGAAGGTTGGATGTGACAGCTATGATTTTTAGCTGAAGAAAAGCTCTTAAAGATTGTGAATTTCTTACCTATTCTCAGCAGAACAACAACATTAACTGCAAAAAGGTGGTTAGTGAAGTAGCTGTTTTTTACGCACGTTTATCCAATCTTGCATTTGGAGTCTTTATCACAAAGGCAAAATAACAATTTTTACATGCAATAAAAAAGCCTAATGTTTAATCTATCTTGTGAATGCCTTGTCCTTGTCATGTATGTTTTTTTTCCCTGTCAAAACAGTTATTCATACAACCAAACAGAATAAAGAATCAAGAAAGGGCCACAAATACCTGAAAATTTTTCATAATCCATGCCTCTGACCTAAGATTTAAAAGAAAGGGATGCACAACAAATATTGGCCCAAGTTGCTTGCAATTTGGCATGCAGTTTGAGGCACTGAGTAGGATTGCCATGAAAAGGATTGACAAAAGCAGTGAGAGGTTTCCGCAGTTCCACTCTGTTTTTTCATCCAGAGCTGTGAAAATGACAACCATTGAAAACTACTAATTACTTTTTTAATTGAAATTGCACAAAAGTCTAAAAGTAACTAAACAAATTGCCTACTTTTCAATGATATTTAGGGAATAAGTGACCTACCCTACAACTTTGTACAATGTGCAGACACTTATTAGAAGTTATAGAAACCTTCTCCTAAACATTTTGAAGAAACAAAAATCTACCAGCTTGTTGGACAAGGATATCTAGTAATTTTCCTTTACAAAAATTATGAACAAATAATTCTGACTCACACAAATTTAGAACAAAATATTTTAAGCTAACAGTTCCAAAGGTGTAGTTCCTTCATGACGATCTCTGTCCAATGTTTGAATCCTTGTACGACAGACCACACACTTTAAGGGAAGATTGAGGTCATTTACAGCCACCTGCAGTGTTCTGACAAAACAACGGCGACAAAGAACTCTGTGTTTGCAAGGATAAGTTTGAATGATGGCCTTGGCACTGTTGCACACAATGCACTAGAAGAGGGTAAAAAACAATTTATAATAAAGATTCTGCTCTTCATTGTACAATTTTGTTGTAATACGCAATGCATATCAAGCTTTCTTGACTTGCTAGTGGAAATGCAAAGAATTGCTACACAGGAGAAATTTTGTTATATGAATGGGTAAAAACTCAAATAGGTTACTAACAATCATTAAAATAAAAGTGGAGCTCACAGAGCATAGCCCCTTAACTATAAAAAATGGTAGTAGTAACTCTTCAAGCCTAAAAAATTTGGACTTGTGACTCTATGGGCGTCCGTACAAGGTGCTACTTTTAGCATTTGCAGTCAACTGTACCACAGGCATGCCAACACCATGGCTTTGTTCAGTAGTCCAGTGGTCAATGCACTGGCCTCTAAGTCAAACAACCCGGGTTCTAGTCCTGGCCAGGGCAAGGTGTTGTGCCCTTGAGACGTGTGGGAAAAAAAAATGCGAGCTTTGGTTTTAGGCTTGGCTACATTTATATATTACATAATTTCCTAAAAGTACAAAGTTGCAGCTGATTAAATAACACTTTCAAAAATAGGGAAAAATAGAAAATACAGTAGCATGACAAATTCTCCCAACTACAACCTTAGCAATTGTGTGGCAGACAATAAGGAAATTTACTATTACATCAAATGAGATTTATGAGTGAAAGGGGTTAAACAAATCAAACTCAAACTATAAATGTGAAAAGATATTTGACCAGAAAAATTAAAAGAATGTTATAAATCTGAAGCAGTTTTGAATGATAAATTCACAGATTAAACAAACATGACTGTGGCAGCAGTTTTTACCTCATCGTCTTCAGTATCAGGAAGTTCTGGTTGAAAGTTGTCTAATGAACCAAGAAGTTGCTCCTGTTTGAAAGAATAAGATACCTTGAATTTCTTGACATCTTTAGCCTGAGATAAAGTTCTTCCCCGAAACATTTTATTTCCTCTTCCTAGGAAACTGGTTAGTTCAACTACTGAAATGAGCAAGGCACAATCTTTCAAGAAAATTTATTGTTGTGTTCATGTGGGGAAATATCTAGCCCCCTCACACAGATCTCTGTAACAGAGCATAGCAAAATATATGAACTTCATATATTCATCATATCAGAGCAGAGTAGCTTCAACAAAATTCACGCAATCAGAATACAGGAAGGCTTTTGTTCATATGACAGTATCATATCTAATACTCTCATTGTCCACTGCTACTGAGATATCCCATGGTACACTTGAAAGGGTTGCATAGCTACAGACAACTGGTATGTAATTACCTTGAGAAATATCACAATTAATACGGAGCTTACTTAACCGCTTCCCGGTTAGCTCAATTGGTTAGAGCGCCGGATTGTGTTGTGCGGGAGGTCGAGAGTTTGAGCCCCGGCCGGACCAATACTCATGGTCTTAAAATGAGTGAGGAGAATTTGCTACCTTTCTATAATATCAAGAAATGATTCATCCAATACTCATGGTCTTAAAATGAGTGAGGAGAATTTGCTACCTTTCTATAATATCAAGAAACGGTTCATTCTAGTCTTCTCGGATGAGGAAGAATAAACCGTAGGCCCCATCTCCTGCAGGGTAAGGGGTAGGAGAGGTTAATTTCCCACGCACAAGATTACTGTGTGATGGATGTCCTCCCCTGGGTGGGATAGGAGGGAAGGTGAGATTGTTACATGGACTGAAGCGGCTGCCAGAGGCACCTGATAATGCTGACGTCCGATCTCAACCTTATCATTGTAACTAGACACGTTTGTTGTTTAGACTGCTTAAGACTTTCTTTCTTTCAATCTTGCTCCTGCTGAAATTTTACAGTAGCCATAATCAGTTTCTAACTTCTCTTTCCCGGTGTTTCACAAGGATAACTTTATCTGGTATGCATTCTTCACATCAAATGTCAGGAAAATAAACATTCTAAAAGAGTTTTGGAAATGTTGCCAAGATTCCAGACAATAAGAAGCCAGTTCAAAGTCTAGGGTGTGTGTTGCCATCACTTTTCAAGAGCAGGGTGTAAATAACTCCTTCATGTGCTTTACCATGAAATATCTCACTTGTTGTGTGTGTGTTATTACTACACCAAGAATAAACAAGCAGCTACTGAGATATCCCATGGTACACTTGAAAGGGTTGCATAGCTCCAGACAACTGGTATGTAATTACCTTGAGAAATATCACAATTAATACGGAGCTTACTTAATCGACAAACCAATTTTTAACTGAAGTGACAAAACCCTCAATCGAGAATGATTCATAACTAAGAAAGTCCCCAGGCACTTTAAAATATGATATTGATTTTCGGTCAAACCATAGCTTTACTAATTATGCACGGTCAAACAAGAAATCACTTACTCACATGTACTAATTCGTGACTGTGGGGAAAGCCCTTAAGTTTCACCTACCAGTTTATCCCGTAATTCCACGAGTTTTTCGACCCTTCTTCTCCTTATTTCCCTGTGGAATGCGTCTTCGTCTGCGAAAGTATCTCTCCTCCTTCTACTCTTATAGTAGCGATAAACCAAGTACGTAGTCACTACCACGCCGAAGACAATTACTGATTTTCTGTTGTAAATACGACTGAGTATACTCGACATAACGATTCCCAAAGTTGTCCTCGGTTCTCCACAATCCTTAGCTCTACATGCTATTTGACGTGCTGTCTGTTCGAAATAGAAGTTTTTGCTCTGAAATCATCCCAAAATTTCGATGCTTATAGCTAGAAGTGCAAAAAGATTTTAATCGGACACGACGCTTCCGGGAATCATGGGAATCGTGGGAATTGACGGGGAGGGGTGGCTCCTACCGAATTCAAACCACCGTGGGGTGGGGATGGTAGCTAATCAAATCCAGTTACGAGACTGAATCGTTGCTTTCTCTCAGTAACTTGTTGATCAGTCTGCCCATTCATTGTCTGTTACAGTAATATTGGACCCATTTGTTGTGTAGCTACCGTATTTATCCGTGTATAAGTCGACCCTTTGTGACCGAAAAATCAGCCCAAAAAATCACCCTAGACTTACACACGGATCATAGACAAAGACCTGACCCAAGCAATTCAAGGAACTAGCTCAACAATTGCCTGAAGGTCCAAAATTGCTGTGCACTGAGAGGTAGAATGCAGGTTGAATCAGATGCTTTTGGTTGACTATATGGAGACGGATTTACAGATCACAAAGGAACTGAAAGAGAAATCCAAATCTACCAAAATAACTTTCAATTAAAAGAATGTTTTGAATTTTCATACTTTTTTATCCATTGTGTCCACTGACACAGTGTAGGTGATACTCGTCATTAATCATATATTATGGAGGTAACAGTCTAGGCTATCCAGCTGTGCATGACAAGAATGAGGAGGAAGTCTTTCCCTTCAGCCATTAAAAGTAAATAAATTATTATCACAAAGGAAAACACAAAGCATCTTTTACCTACATCTTTAAGAAACTTCTGAAAATCAAAATTGACTTAATATCTCATGACAATATCAAAGTTCTCCAAGTACACTAAAATAATTCATTTACTTAACCATGCTAGGAGGCTTGTTGTCACCCTTCCCAGTGCTGTTTATGTTACTTCTATCAATGATCAGGGGAAAACAGAATTTTTCTTAAAGTGGAGGTCCAAATTTTTTTTCAGAAAACACATTTTTTGTTGCTGTTACACCAAACCCCTTTTCAAGATGAGTAAATTTTTAATTCTTTAAGTCTCAAATTAAAATAAATGTAATACACATGCTTGTTCTTGGAAGAATTTTGGTTTCAGATGAGAGCCTGTTATCTTGATATGACCATAGTTAATAGAGTCCTCTCTATTAACTATGATATGACTTTAGCTGTGCTACCTTCTCGTCTCTGTTTAACAAGGAAATATACTTTACCTTGAAATGTGAGTCACAATAAGCAAGAGGATTCTGCTTAGCAATAAACTACAACAACCAAAACAGTATAACTACAACTTTAATTCCTGTTAATTCTTTATTCACAAAATAGCATTTTGAGGCCTTTAAAAATCTTACTATTCCTTTGATTCAAGCACTGGGAAGTAACAAAGAGATTCACATGGACTTCCATTGATATACGAAGTGAAATTTACCAACATAAATTGTGACTAAAAATTACTTACAATAAAATACCTTTAAAAATGTTACTATTAATTTCTCCTTTCATATAAATTCTGATAAGTAAAAATTCGTTCCAATTCAGTACATTCCATGCCAGACATTCCATGGGCAATATGACCTTACATGGCTAACAATATAAAATCCACAAACCAGCTACCTACATCACACATAAAATCTTCATTTAGTGATTTTTTATCTTACACATCTCAGTAAACAAGAACAGAACCATAAAAAAATTTCTTAACTAATCTAAGATATTTTCATGGCAACTTCTATAGTCTTAGTCGTTATCATCTTTTCCGTGTTTTAAGATGTGAGTGAACTTTACGAAATCCAGGTATCCATCTTTGTCGATTGGCGCGTCACGAAGCACATCATCAACTTGATCCTCGGTAAATCTGTCTCCCATAGTAGTTAAAGCCTCTTTCAATGCATCTTCGTGGACTTTACCGTTACCATCGTCATCAAAACAGGCAAATGCATTATTTATTACATCTTCAGGATCTGTCCCGTTCAGTTTTTCACCAAACAGCGTTAGAAACATGGTAAAGTTGATAGGACCAGGCGACATTTTCACCATCTCTTCCAAATATTCATCGGAAGGATCTTTACCCAGGGAAGCCAGCATGTCGTGTAAATCTTCTTTATCGACGAAACCATCACTGTTTTGGTCGATCATGTTGAAGGCCTCTTTAAATTCCTGTATCTGGTTTTGGTCGAACATAGCAAACACGTTCGAAGTGGCTCGGTGAGCCCGCTTTTTTGTCGTCTTTTTGGTCTTTCTAGAAGCCATCTTGTAGCTGAAGCTTCACCACGGGCAAAATTGGAGCGGCAATCAAAATCAGAAGCAGTGTAAGAAACAGTTTTTGCGATTAGTTGTTCACGCTCCTCCCTAAGGAAATTTGCAAAAGTGAAACACGAAGCCACATGCCTTCACTTTCCCGAAGCACGTAATACATGAAGTCACTTCCGGTTCAAATACCGGAAGTTACCTTCAGCCAGACCAATCTAAAATATGTATTTTATGATCCTCTTTTGAAATACGGGAAGATTCGCATGGTGGATTAACAGCACAAATGCATTTATTTCCAAAAATGAGTTGACCGTATGTTGTTACCAAGCCAATGCCAACTTCATGCTAACACCACTGTTCCCATCTCCTTCATGGTTTCTTGCACCATGTGCTGAAGGTTTGACTGAATTTAACATTATCCACACTCAACTGGATCAAATTGAAACTGCCTTTGATCCACAAATTCCAAATAGATAATTATTCATGGAAAACTATTGCTTCAAGATGAATGTTAAAGAAAACAAATTATACCAGTAGGGTTTAGAACTAAAATGCTTAATCACTACTTGGAAACACAGTTTTAGTGAGGGCTGTGTACAAAACCATAGAAGAAAGGCACTGACATATCTCCACCAACATGCATATTCTCCATACTGTTTTCTAAAAATTTCTTAAGGTGCTGACAAGGAGAATTTGTTTAATAATCAAGAGCTCCATAGGGTGGTGGTGATTATTTCTTTTATCCTTGCGACCTAAATTCATGATTCAGGGGTGATATTGTAAGGAGAAATTAGATGCTGGTATATCTTAGGGGTTCAGGGGTAAACCCTCCTACTCCCAAGATCTGCTTGTTACTGCTCCCCTCTTGCTGCTACACATTTCCTTGTATATTAGTCATTAGAATTTGGAATAAGATCAAGATAAAATTTTCTAACTGATAAGTTGAAGTTTTCCCAATAACTGTTTTCTAGAATATGCATGGATATTATAGGAACAAATTACATGCTAGTCACACTTAGGGTCAAAGGGTAAAATGAATGTTCAAACTTAACCCATCCATCGCACAACATTTATCAATTCCTTAAAACGTTTTGAAAGCAGTTGATAATGAGCACAGAAGTTTAAAATTGTTCATAAAAAATAAAAATTTTCAGAAGTGAATCCACTTCTTTTCAACTTGAGCAAGACAAAAGATATGGAAGGTACCCAAGAAAACCATTATTTTCAAGCTACAACGACAGAAATTCCATCACATTTTAATTAGTTTAAAATAACACACTGTTTATTGTACAAGCTTAACAGCTCAATTTTCTAGGCTATACCGCATGGATATGAAAGAAAACCAGCCCATTGTTTACCAAACCATTTCAAGTTTCGATTAATTGTTTGAATAGTGTGGGAAATAAACATTCAGCGCAGATATCATACCTTGAATGGCCATGCATAAATAATTTTTAACCCCGTAATTAATACACAAAATTGCAAATCATGAAATGAGAGTTATACTAACTGCTAACCAAAAGACTGGTCTAAGTGTAATGCAAAGTCTCCTATAAGGAATTGTAATCAGTTAATCGTTTTCGTCCTTTTTACCGTGTTTTAGGATATGAGTAAACTGATTATACTCCAGGTATCCATCTTTATCGATAGGTGCGTCACGTAGAATATCATCAACTTGATCCTCGGTAAATCTATCTCCCATGGTGGTTAGAGCTTCTTTCAGAACATCTTCATGCACTTTGCCGGTACCTTCATCATCAAAACAGGCAAACGCATTCCTTATTACATCTTCAGGATCTGTGCCGTTCAGTTTTTCACCAAACAGTGTTAGGAACATGGTGAAGTTGATAGGACCTGGCGACATTTTTATCATTTCTTCCAAGTATTCGTCGGTTGGATCTTTACCCAACGACGCAAGCATGTCGTGTAAATCTTCTTTATCGACGAAGCCGTCGTGGTTTTGATCAATCATGTTAAAGGCCTCTTTAAATTCTTGAATTTGGTTTTGATCGAACATAGCGAATACATTTGAAGTGGCTCGATGAGCTCGCTTTTTTGTGGTCTTTTTCGTCTTTGCTCTGGCAGCCATCTTCTTCGTCGGATTTATCTAAAACAACCTGAGTAGAAGGAATGTTAAAAGCTGAGGAAGAAAATAGTTCGCGTCCGAAAATTTGTGCAACACCTTTCGTCAAACTTCAGCAAACAATTTATGGTGATTTTGTTACTCGGCTGAGATTCGCTTACCCGGATATTAGAACCCAGTATCACTCAATAATCTTTTTGCCGAAGAATAGTTTTCCCATACTTTCAACACGAGGATAACCTAGGGTACTTATCAAGGGTATTTATAATTCAAATGAATAAAGGCTGCTAGTTTCGAAAGAAACTGTTTGGGGCTGCGTCGGTGGGAGTAACGAAATAATTTGGATATATCAACAAAGGGCTAACGCTCGAAACGTCAGCTTTTGTAATCATTACAGTGGCCAATTTACTATTTCAACTTTGTTGATATATCCAAATTATTTATAATTCACCTGAGGAGACTCATCCAAGTTGTCCCGCGATATAAATAACTTATTTTTGAATTAACGATTGTACTTTTTAGCAATTTTTTTCTGGGATTTTAAGGTGAATCCTAACTGTAGAAAATGACTCAGAATTAATAAATTATTATAGACCAAACAATGTATTACTTCTACATCACTGTTTGGCAATTAATGAACATCAATGCAAGTAGTTCTGTCATTCTCATGGAACAAGGTTTACCATTCAAAAATTTATGTTCCTGGCCCTTAAAAAGTGTTACCTTCAAAACTGAGTTATTTCCTGCTACCTTGATAAATCAAAACACTAGGCATAAAAATGATGGAAATAACCTTTTATTCTGGACCATTATTGAGAAATGCTATCCTCTACTTTGAAACTCATGTTTGAGAAATATTTAGGAGACTCTGTCCCACTACCTCCCCTCCCTAGTTACACTTGTGTCATTCTCTCAAGATATAAGGATTTGAAGATTTTAGTATTCAAACTGCATGCTAAGTGTATAATAAAACCTAGATTAACACAGTTGAATCTTCAAAACTTAGACGAATTAATGCAAACATAAGTTTGAACAACAAGTTGTAGACAAAGGGATTATGTACAAGATTATAAATTTGTTTTAACCCTCTAACTCCCAATGGTGATTAACATACAATTTCTCCCTATAACATGCATACATTATCCAGCAAACTGGTGATGAGAATACTCAAACTTATCAGGTAAAAGTTATCCTGATCTAACAACAAATTCCCATAACTAGTTTACAAGGAAATATATAGAAGCTAGAGGGGAGAATTAACAAGCACATCTTGATAGTTAAAGGCTAAGGAGTGAGGATACTATACTCAAACACTGTTTTTATCTGAGATATTATATGTTTTTGTCTTCTTGTATTGTAAGGTTATTCTAGTAAGGTTTAATAAAGTAAGGTTGAGCTTTCACTACAATTCCGCCTTGTTACTCTAAGTTTTCTGCATCTACCACTTTAGATGATGGATTTCGTTTGACTGAGAAGTGTTGCAAATCTTTGTCATACTATTCAAACAATTTTCATTAAACAACATAACTGATAGATAAATATTACCTCTATTTTGCCTTACAAACAACTGTTAAATAAAGTCACTTCCAGTGGTTGAGATCCCAACAATATGTCCAGTTTAGGAAGCCTTAAATAGGCCAGTAACGAGAATTAAGAACATTTACACCTAAGGAGAATTTCTGGATAAAGAAACAATTTCTCTAGAATAGTCAACAAAGAAATGGATGAGAAAAATGCACAAGATTTTAGATTTAGATATTTCGAATGAGAAAGTTAAAAAAATACTACAGGTTGTACTGCAAGTATTTCAACTATGTTATACATTGATAACTCTTGTCTGTCTATGGTGGAATAAACTTAATAAAGAATTTAAAATTAGCAGTAACAGCTAATAATGCAGTTTCTGGGAGAAACATATGTCTAATCTTCAAGAAAGGACAAATTTTTCTTTTCACATTTTATGTGAAAAATATAACCTCAACATTACCAGCTTGAATACATTTTTCAAGTAAAACTCTGTCACTCTGCATGTATGTCAATCATCACAAAAATGACAATTTACACAGAGAGAAGTGACCTACATTCTTGCACTGAAATAGTATCATTTCTTTATAATTTAAAGAGAAATAAGCCTTGGTCTTTAGCACCAACAATAAGGATCTTCCATCTTTTAGTTAAAATAGTTATTATAATAGTATCTGTCTTTTCACCCAGGATGATGAATCGCCACCGTCCTTTTCTTCTATGCTGAAGACTTTGTTTGTTCAAGCCTATTACCAAGTATATCTGAGTTTGCGGGTGCATTAGTAAATATAGTTCCAACAAATGCGAAAGATCCCCAAACACGATGTGAAATAACTTTACAGCAGCCAAGATCTGTCACATTGAAGCCTAAATGGTTATAACGTTCATCTGTTTCAAACAAAGTGCTATTTGTGTGTGGTCCAAAAAACTGTGGAGTAAAAAGAGAAAGGAAATAGTCATAGATATTCCACAAAAGCAAATGACAGATGTTCATCCAAGGTGGAAGCAACATAACCTACTATCTGTCTTTGCTTTCTGCAATGCTTTTCTCCTGCAAATTATTACAAAGTAATAATATGAACAAATTGTACTCCCACTACAGGCTTGTGCATTTTTGTCATCTTTCAAACATTTACTTGTGCTTATCATGAAACCAAATTGCACTAGGAATCATGTTGTTACCTACATTTAACCAACCTTCCACTCTATCAGAGAAAAGAAAATATTCAAATGTCTCATCACATGATTTGAAATTCCAACTGACCTGTAGGGGACAAACCAGCTTGCTGTTTACAAGTATAATCAAGGAATTAAACTCTCTACTACAAAAAAAAAGAAGTTTATCTGCTAAATCTGAACTTGGCCACAAGCATCCTAACAACACCACTAAAAGTGATGTTCAAGCATAATTTAGCCCTTCATTAGAGTAGAGGACACTCTGATGAACGGCTAATGCTTGAAAGGTCAGCTTTATAAACTCTTTATGGTGACCAAATTACATTGGAAACTCAGTTGATAAAACCAATTTATCTTTTAATACCCTCACCACCCCCCCAATAGTTTCTTTGGAAACTTACTCCTAAAACCATCACTGTTTTTATAGTTCTTGGATAGAGAAGAATACAAGATTAAATGTCTACTGGTAAAAAAATAACTGATGAAAGTTACAGTGAGGATCAACTTACTGCTGTTCCTGATGATGGGTCTATAAAGTCTGCCCAGTAACCAGCTGCTAAGAGACTATTGCATATTTCTCTTGCACTTTCTACAAACTACAACAAGGAAAGAACATAGAAAAAGTGAATGATGATCATTATAAACTTCACATTTTGTTTTTATTTCTGTCTGCCTAGTTGTCGCAAACTGTTGTGGTTATTTTGTGAAAAATTTCATCTTACACTAGCCATAAGGCTTTCTCGTTCTTCTTCTACATCTGGTGACCATGCACTCATATCATTTCTAGTATGCTGACTAATGCTGACAACTGTTAGTTGACCAATCTGTATTCCAATGCCAGGAAACAACTCCATAAAGCTTTGATGAAGGAAAGAAGGGCACTCTTGTACACTGCATTCTACTGAACCCAAAGAACTGTCATTCTAAATGAAGAAAATAAGTTTGAAAGTGAAAAAGAGTAAAGTTAAATACAATGCTGTAATTATAAAGGTACTCTGTGGGAGTGTAAGCCCAAGCCGCTTAACCTTTGACCCCTAAGAG